TAAGACAAAATCTTGTTTTTTCGTGTTCCCGTTCCCATGGGAATTTCGGAATAGTATTTTACGAACTCAGAAACTTTCGCCGGCATACGGCCAACTATTCCCCAAAGTTTTATCGCAATTGGATGACAGGTTTAAGTAGACATAAGAGCCAGACAGACAAACAATCATTTTTATTTATATTGCTGTGTGAAATGATATGCGGTTACTATACCACCCAATAGACACCTACTAAGCTAGCTCAAATTACACGATGGTTTCCATTTTCCTTTTAAAATTGACATGAGTAAAAACTTCCTCACAAAATCCAACTGATTCCACATTACTTTCTTAACATGAAGACGACTACGTTTTTCTTCTGTTAAAATCACATATCCGGATAAACCACTGGTGCAAATTAACAGCACAGACTGTACGCTCTCGTTCAAAATATCCCGAGATGGCCCTGTCTATTCTTATTAAGAGGAAAACCACTTCCAATCATAAATTCAACATCGTTGTTTCCCGACGACACTCGAAATTCTGCACTGTCACCCGAACTGATCGACACCTGCGTTACTTATGTCTCACATCACACTGTTTATTACAAAATCAATTATTGTCCGATAGCTTTTTATCAACGCCTGACCAAATAACTTTTAATAACATTACAATTAAATGTTCCCTTATTTATACGTTTTAAATTTATTATACAAAGTAAATACAAGAAATAGAATTAAATGAATTAAACAATTACAGACTAAACAAGTTAAAAAGTAATCGTAAACGATTTACATAAAGCGCATTTCCACTTGCATTCATTTCCTATTTGTAAGATGCAACTTTTGTTAAAATTGTAAAAATCCGGCCACAAATATGAAACATAGCGTTGCACATGTGCAATCCATTTTTGACGTGCTACTTCAATTTCAGTTTATAAGAAGAGTTTCATTTCAATGCTTTTCTAAATAAGAAAGTTGGAACTGCGCATGCGCAAACCTAAATTTTGAAACTAATGTTAGATTTTCCTTTGTTCCAAGCGCCTAAGTATCAAATTTCATTTAAATTCTTCCATAAATAAGAAAGTTGCACTGCGCATGCGCAAAACCAAATTTTGAAAGTGGCGTTAAATTTGCTTTTATTCCAAGTAGCTATGTATCAAATTTCATCTAAATCCCTCCATAAATAAGAAAGTTGGCACTGCGCATGCGCAAAACCAAATTTTGAAATTGGCGTTAAATTTGCTTTTATTCCAAGTGGCTATGTATCAAATTTCATTTAAATACTTTTATAATTAAAAAAGTTTGCAATTCGGTTTATAAATGGTCGAGATGCGAAAAGGGCACTGTAAATTTTGAATCGATTCGACTCAACTTTTGGCATTGCGTATTATATGGCTAAAGCTATGCCCATATTGAATTTCATGCAATTCAGTTCATAACTAACGGAGATGTAAAAGCGATCGGACATTTCTAAACAAAGTTATCGTTCACACGGACAGATAGAAGGACAGACGGACAGACCAACAGGCAGACGACAGACAGCAATGCAAAATTATAAACGATCTCTAGGAGCGTTAATAAACGGCAAAAGTGTAAAATTATGAAACATGTAAAAAACGGTTTTTTGTTTTTTTTTACAATAACTTTTTTTGTAAGCGGTACAGAAAAAATTCCTTCCTTGGTGCAAGACTCGACACCATAACGAACCAAATAGCGAAAAAAGTAGAACAATAGCTCTTAAAATAAAGAACTAGTAGCGTCGCAAAAGGAGCGGACGGACGGACGGACAAAGTGGCCACAATAGCGCATTTTTTTTTTGTGGAAATGCGCTAAAAATGACAATTCAACAAATTTTCCCATTCTGTGCCCATTTGAAATAAAAAATTCCCAGATGAAATAACTTGAATTACGGCTGTGTACAGGATGCCCTGACTATAATTGCGATATTCCTACCGAAATTACGTTAAAACATGTATTTTAGCACTACAAGGTGGCTCGCTCCCACCTTGGGCATTGTTTCAAGCTAGAGAAACGACAACCCCATATAGTTTACACAAGAATATAGATAATGGTAGACTTGGCAGTGTGCACGTTTTAAATCCTTTGAGGTTTTGTGAGTTAGGAGATGCCGTTTCATGAGATGATGGTGATGTGTTGCAAAACTACACAGTGCACATTTTAAATATGTCAAAGTATTGTGAGTTAACATATACCTACTTAACTTTGCTTTGTAGTTCAATGTATAATCACATTGGACACAATTTAAATCCTCAGAGGGCTTGTATGACAGGTCATTTCAACACAAAGTGGTGATTTGTTGCAAAAATCACACCGTGCACACTTTCAATATTTGGAAATATTGTGAGTTAGCAGATGCCAATTTAAATTTGATTTGTCGTTCGTTACACAATTACACTGTGCACATTTTAAATCCTATAGAGAAAATGTTGCAGAATTGTGCATGGCATCCCAGACTATTGAAAAAGATGGAGGTTTTATTTTTCCAATTTTCCGTCTTTATTATGCAAAAAATTGAAAACTAATACGGTTGTTTGACGTAAAAAAATTTTTTCTACAAAAAACCTTAATACATTTTTGCTCTAAAATAATTTGGGGAGCCAATAATCGCATGTTATGAATTTTACATTGAAATCCCTATGATGCGTTACGCAAGTCACCACCCTGTATAACCCTCCTTCCTTATAGTCTTTTATTTCAATGGCCTAGACACACAGACAGTCAAGCGTGCGCTGCTCGAATAACAAGAAACACGACTGTCTTGTAAACAAGTAAATTAGTACTTTCAGGTTAGGTAAGGTTTGTCTGCATTGGGAGTTAAATTGAGTGACAAAGTGTTGATTTTTTATTTTGAGTGGCGCTTCGAGGCTGCGCGTAATAGTAGTATTTATTACATAGATCTCAGCAAATGTAAGATAATCAAATACACACACAAGACAAAAAACAAGTTTGGTATAAATAAACAAATTAACAATCATTTTCAAAGAACTTCAGAATCCTTTAAATGGTGTGCTCAACGGTTAGGGTGGACCTAATGTATAAAGTGAAGCTATAAGGATAAGGAAAAGACTACCGCACTGAAAATCATTAAAAAAAACCTATAGACATCCAACCCCACAAATTATTTTGTTGCAATACATCTAAAATTACACTGTATATGGAGTAGCTAACACATTATAGGCAAAATGTGGAAACAGATCGGTAGTACACAAGATCTGTACCTATAGTAGATGACTACTAATCAACGATTTTTAGTTGTCTATATATGGTAGCATAGTAATCAACATCGGACAGAAAGTTATCGAAATACTTTGCAAAGAAATTAAATTTGTACTGACCATCAGGTATACCCGGAGGGAACTTATTTGCAAGCGGTCTCCAATTGTACATATAATAATGGAAATTCTGAAACCAAATAACATATTTAATGCTCTTCCTAATGTAAAATTACCTTTCTTAATGGACAAGCGTGTATGTTACCGCCTCAATAGAATTTAAAAAGCAAAGCAGATTAGATTAAATTGGCTTTCAAATAATGTGCCATTTGCCATAGGATTCCATTTAAAATTTTAGGGGTTAAGCTCCCTACGTAGAGGGGTGAAGACTTGGGTTCGTGATTTGTATTCCAAAAGTTGTCCCCCTCGAATACAAAATTGACGTGTTCGAGGATTTTTCGAAATTTCTAAATTTAATACCCTAAAAGCCCTCTGTATACTTCTCGTTGGGCCACTCTGTATACATTGACCTATAATAAATGGACTGCGCGTGGCAATGATAACCGCGAATACTGCAGGTGAGAGAGAAGGGAAAACTAAGAGGGCAAGCTGTCTCTTACGGTTACGCATCTGATTGGTTCATTCGCTTTCATTTGAATGCGATCGCGATCGCTTCTGTTAAAAGAACCAATCAGATGCGTAGCCGCAAGAGACAGCTTTAGGCTATTCCCTACGTACTGTCGAAATTTCAAGTTAATCGACTCATTTTGAAAAAATTGCCAGAGCAATTACCTGCATTTCCTGGACTCATAATGGGAATCTCATACATGCCGCAAAATTAAAAATCTCACATATCGTTTTTGTGCAAATTGTGTACTAATGATACAAGTTTGTGTATGATAATATTTTGGGAATTCGCGATCTTGTCCGAAAATGTTGTTAAGGGTCTATTGAACAACCTTGTCTAAAATGTGTAAAATTAATATATATTTTCAAATGATCTTTTAGTGATTCTCAAACCCCAATATATAATTCTTGAATTATCACAACAAGGTAGTGGGTGTAATTTTCAATTTCGAAGTGGGGTAGCTGGGGGACGAAGAGATGAAACCGAAAATTCTCTAGGTACCATTTTTGAACTTCCCCTCGATATATCGACTCAAAGCAAGCAATAATCACAGCTTGCCAAGAGTTATTAAGGGTGTATACTTTTGAACACAACACCCTGTATTTAAATCAGACTTTGAATATGTTTAAAAGTTTTGGCTAAAACGGGCTTAATGAATAACCCATATGTTCAAATTTTCGGAAATTGATGCGCAATAAATACTAATCGGCTTATCTGGCCCTTCCTGTATGAATATGAAGATACCAGTGCATTAAGGATTACTTGTCGCCGCTGCACTTCGTACCTCGTCAAAAAGTGTATTTTTAGCTGGTTTGCAGATAGTGTCTTCCATGCTGATAAACAATTACCGAGTGTAATTCAAATGTACCCACTCGCACCAATAAAACAACGTCTTCGTTACAAACACCTGGCTTTTCATATAGGCGATAACACGCCCGTATCGTGAAACTCAATTAACTTTGCAACGATAAGAAAGCTTCTTATCTTCGACTGGAGAAAAACATGAGATAAACTTTTACAACTACTACTCAAATAACTTCCAGATAAAACGGTGTCCTCGAATTCTACCAATGTGCTTGGATTTGCGTTTACTCTAAAACTTACCGACTACATTTCCACTTTAAAATAAAGTGGAAATTCACATACAGGGTGTCCAATCGTTATGGCAGGTATCGAAACCAAACAGAACATTCGCTTGACGTAGTTTACACAACAATATATTTTCACACTTCAACCCGTATGGCATCGCATATGCTTATAAAAGAGGGACTATTATAATTACGAGTCCGGCGGTTAACCAGAAATAAGGATTTTTCAAAATCTTAAAATTGTCATATTTTATTCCATGATCTTTGTACAATGCACGGTTTAGAAGATATACAGGAATTTTACACGAAAATAAAATCATACAAAAGCACAAGCTGACTCGACAAGAAACACAAAACTTCAAAGCCTCATCAGGTCCCATCCACTACAACAACCCAATTATAAATGTTATAAATTTGCACCATCGCCACGTTTCATATCAGCTCTCATTCTATCAACACAAATTGATGTTGGCAAGATCCTCAACCAAAACGGGTCAGTAATTCTGGAAACAGAAAACCCAGTAACGCGGGGGCTATTATAACCTTGCTACTATGTATTGATTGACCATTTACCTTGTTTTGTTTAAAAAATGAAAATTGCAATAAGGATAGTGTCACAAAAAAAGATAACGTTGAAATTAATGGCTCCGGTAACTAGCTCAGTCGGTTTGATTTTTATTTTTTACCTGTCTTACGTTGGCTTGCTCCAGGGATCTTCCATAGCTGAAATAATTACCAAAAATTGGAATCCTAGACTGTCCAATTTAATAACAACGATATAAATGATTGACTTTAGATATATTTATTATGCATCTCTTTAGACACAGTAATTTTTTATGAAATTCCTATCTAGTAGGGACATGAATATTTACTTCCTAAAGGAGAAATGGTCACATCTCTTTCTTAAAGTTAAATTTAATAGTCACAAAATCAGTGTTTTCTTTGCTCCTTCATTAGTCTTTTATTTCAATGCTGCACACGACCCGAGCCATGGCAACACAAAGCTGTCAGTGATGTGTCGATTTGTCATTTTACAGATTGTAGTGTAGTTTCCCAAATCTTGCTTATTGACATATTTGATTCAAAATTGATATGGAGTTTGATGAAAGTTGTGCCAAGTGCCAAAAATTTGTTAAATTTGATAGCGAAGCTTTGTGCTATTGTGAAACATGTTTTTATGTTTATCACGCCACTTGCGCTGGGCTCTCAAAGGAGGATGTCGAATTGATGACAACATTTGAACATTCTTCTTTCAACTGTGATAAATGTAAAAATGAAGAAAAACAGGTAGCCATAGTCAGTAGTTAGTGTACCGTGGATGCAAGTTGCTTAAATTGCTTAATTTGTGTGTGGTTATTGCGTGCAGTTGACTAACGTAATTTATAAGGGAGATGTAGTAAATAACCAATCTATTAATTTGAGCAACCAATATTCTGTGTTGTTATATATTATTTCCCAGTTACGCTGATGCATATTTTTCCTACCCAAATTATCATACTCGAATCAAATGTTGAATAAGTTGTTAATATACAGAGAGATTCATTAGAAGTTTTTAAGCTTGCAGTTGAAATAGAAATTTGAAATTTGGTTCACAGCCATAATCGATTATTGCGAATTGAAATAAAACAATTTCAAAATGGCGCCGCTTTCGTAAACACCGGAAGTTGGCGCCAACTTAGTTTTTTTAAATAGGAACATAAATTGACATGTCAAAAACTATGACAGATAGCTGATCTTATGGTAAATGCGTCTAAAGCTGGATTCACATGAATACGAAATCCGACGATACGGTCATCCGAAATGCTTATGATTGGTCAATAGTTTGAAATGTCATGACATTTCAAATTATTGACCAATCATAAGCATTTCGGATGAGAGTATCGTCGGATTTCGTATTCATGTGAATCCAGCTTAATTCAGAATAAAATGGCACATTTAGAAAAAAATAGAAAATGGTATTTTTCTATTTTAAAAAACAAAATGGCACCAACTTCCGGTATTTTACGGAAGCGTCACTATCTTAAAATTATTTCAAGTTTCCATTTTAACTGCAAGTTTGAAAAATTCTAACGAACGAGCAACGCGAATCTCCCTGTATAGATCAAATTGATCCTTGTATACCTAGTAGGCCCAAATGCAAATAGGCCTTAGACCATATAGTACATGGACTGCTAATTGTAACTAAAATATGGTCAAGGACATTGCCTGGGTATGTGCGTTTCAGGGTAAACGAGTCTGTCCGAAATTATCCGATGAGACACGATTTGAGGCTGTCAACCTATAAATTAACAAACGTCAATTAATTTATGGCCCAGATATGGCAAGAAAAGCAAACCTATTCTTATTTGTGGATGTATAGAAGATAATCAAGATTATTTAAAGCTCCTCGTACTACGCGGTTACCATAAAAGCTACTCTACGCGATCCGAGTGGTGTTCATACGACTTTAGTTTACCCTGAGATTCACATACCCACGACTACAGTGCCCCCTATCCGTGACCACCCATTTTGTATTGAAAGCATAGGGCTAATAGCAGTCCATGTACTATATAAAAGATGTATTTGCTTGTGCAGCAATCGAGCGGTCTGGGTTTAACACCAAGGCGACCATTAACGAAAAGTTCTAAGCCAGAGGTTCGCTTTACTCTCACAAGGTGTCCATCGGATTCCTCTGAAGTGAGTGAACAGGCCGGCACCGTTGTCGAAGAGAAGGTCATGGTGCATGCCGCACTGGATGGGTCTGTTGAGCACACGATCTCTCCACCCGTTTCGAAGAGAGTTACAAATTCAGGTAATAAATGGTTTGTATTTAGACCATAAACATATTGTCATTCGCAGACTCACGTAAACGAACCTATCATGAAATTACCAATGAAGAAATTATATCACTGTCAGACCTACCAAAGACGCCTAGATCAAGAAAAAGTTATAAAGGTATTTCACAGCAGAAACAATTTTTAACTTACTTCACATTTTCTAGAACACGTAACCGAGAGAATTCGATCAAGCCCTAGGCTTAATCCAGTTACAGAGCTATTTAAAAATGTCACAACCGATTTGAAGGAAGAATCGTATGTAGAATCCGATGTGAATGAGCCTGAACAAAATTTGGTTGTAACGACAACCAGAACGTTGAGATCACGAAGAAGTTATCAAGAATTCACAAAACCGTCACAGTCAAGCACAAATCTTAGGAAAACAAAATCGAAGACGCAGGAAACTAAGTCGTCTCTTTGTAGGGACGTACTTGAAAATAATGCTTTCAACAAGATGGTGGCCCTTTCGACACCTACTATTGAACAAGACATCTCCACACTTCCAAGCGAAGAAAACCAGAACATCGTCTCTACAACAGAAAATCATGCTAACGAAAGCTATCAATGTGAGCAGATGGACGTATCTGAAATCATTGAAAGTGATCCGGTTGTGGCTTCGGAAGTCGAAGTCCCTACGAATAACCAAGACAATGATGCGGAATCTGGTCTGAACGTTGAAATTAAACCTGACGTTGTCAGTGCAGATGTCGAAATTGGCGCGTCGGGCGAGGAAGCAGGCAAACAAGTGCCGGAAGTCAGTTCTTCTGTTGAAGTTGGTCCATTAACCGAAGAAAATTTCAATCTGTATGACGATTTGCAAGATGACATTTATGGATTGGCCGATCCGGACATGTATCCCTGTGATGTGCCCATCGAATTGAATGAAGAAGTTTGCTTATCTTCTATCGCCCAACAGGAAAGTGATGCTGATGTTTTAAATTTATCTGCTGGTGAACATTCACTCTGTTCTTCAAAAGTTGGTAAGTGTTGATTGTGCTATTTTCGCATATCTGTAGGTTTATAATATTGGGGTTAACGTAATATAAGATGCATATTCATTTCCATTAATGTCATCAATCTTATCTACTTTTCATTGATCCTAGGTTATGTTGTTGAGTGAAGGATTGCGGAAGAGGTGCAATTGCTGTCTGTTTAATCACAGAGTTACATATAGTAAATAGAGAGGCAGTACATAAGACCTGCGCGTGGAAAAATAACCCCAAGCACAGTAGCCACATACTTATATAATTTCAACGGCCAGGCCGTTCTGACACATGCGCGGTGCGTGAAAGGCGAATCTCCTGGTTTGCTTTGCTCGCAGCAACATTGTTGATTTGTCACTATATCTCCATCCTGTTAGTGCGCACACTCGCGTACGGCCTGCGCAAGGTTCAATTGGGGTCAATTATCCGCAACAACACTTGTCTCTCTATTTACTATATACAACTCTGTGGGTTTAATAAAGGTACTTTTAGATGTCAAATATCCGCAAATTACAGAATACAAGGCCGTTGATTTAACTTAACGTTCCTCCAACTGTTTCATTCCAAAAAAAATTGTGTTTTTAACCTGAGGCAAATCTACGGCCCCTGATGTATGTTAGCGCATTTTTGATTCTCAGAAAGGAGCTTATATTGTTTCACTATCGGCCGTTCGGGTAAATCAATCGAGATTTCAGCAACGTAGAACTTTCTTGTTTTCGGTATTATTATCCCTCTCTTTTTTTTGGGCCCTCAACAGGCATGCGCCCAATTACAGGGTGACATTATATTCGTATTATCGTGTTATTCCTGCATCGCTCAGTCTGAAAGTTGCAAGACATTCCTAAAGTTGATAATTTATGAATTTCCTTTAAATGTCTCCTTTTATAAATCGATCGAGATGCCAACAACGAAATACCGCAGTCTTGGGGTAACATAAACACTAAAAATAATGACGGGACGCCCTGTATGTGAGAATATTTCAAATTATTCAGTGTAAATGTGGGGGATTACCTACGTATAAGCACAAAGTATGTTTATTTTACTTGAATTTGTGTCTTAACTGGTAATTTTACTTTTAGAATATTTGAAATTGCGTATTATTTTTTGTTTTTCGCATTTAAATTGTTAATTTAGATTTGTGAAATTGCGTGTTAAGGACATCTGGTAAGTTTGCATACGTTATAAAAGGTTTTATCTGGTTGTTTTGCGATGAGGAGTCATCAGACGAAATTTAATTAGCGCATGTGCTTTTATCGCTGTTAAGAGATGTTTCGACGAATTCCGCGTTAGTTCCGGCAAAATGGCGACGCGTGACGCGTTCTTTGAAGCTGGCGTTACCAAGTCTAATTATGATTGGCGGTGTTTTTGAAAGCTCTTAAGGAAGGAGATTATTTTATTGTGAAAGTGGTGTTTTGTTAAATACGGGAATCAACGAAACAATGAGACTAGCTGTTTCGCGACGGTTGGAAAGTTTCAATTTTGATTTGTTTAAGCTTGCTGGACAAGTGTTTTGTGGGTGGGTCACTGCATACTATTGCACACAGCGATATGTACAGGGTGAGTCAACGATTGCGCGGAGTAACTTAATACCTTGAAGATAAGATTTTTCGATGGAGTGCTTTTGTATTATGATATGCTAGATGATATGGTTGAATATTTTCCACATTTTAAAAATATTTGGAATTATACAGGGTGCGCCCACAAAATAGGGCGCCAAAATGGTACATTTTTTTAAATAGAACCCCCTGTATTTGAATGCGTGTAATTGTACGTCTTTTTTATTATATGGTTAATATCCGAAATACAATAGTTTTAAAGATAATTCGATTTGTAAGAAAAATTGGGCATTTGCAAGCGTCAGTATATTGTCAAAATTATTACTTAATTTTTGTTTCCAGGTTTTATATCTTTTATCCGGGGTCCTATTTAAAAAAATGTTCCATTTTGGAGCCCTACTTTGTGGGCGCACCCTGTATAATTCCAAACATTTTTAAAATGTGAAGAATATTCAACCATATCCTAATACAAAAGCACTCTATCGAAAAATCTTATCTTCAAGGCATTAAGTTACTCCGCGCAATCGTTGACTCACCCTGTACAATTGAGGATTCTTGCGTCACAGCCTGAAAGCTACTGCTCTGCCACATCAAAAATGCGCCCAAATCTAGTAAATTAAGGAAAAAAAGTATGGGCAATGATTTAGAAGCTGTTTCAAATAAATGTGCGATTCTAGGCCTGGAACAACAGCAGCTGATGTTTAAAATTTAATGCTTTAAGACTAATCTGTTTCTGTCTAGCTCTAGATCTAGCAAGTTCAAAATATTATTGCTCTTGCTGTACCTTGAAATCCAAGGTTCGGGTCCACAACCGCTTATTTTTCGTTTTGTAAGCACAAAGCATGGTAACTGCTATCAACATAAAATCGTCGATTAGCAAAGCATAATAAATTTAAAATGTCAGGTGTGTGTAAATTTGATGCTAGAGGTTTGTCATTTGCCGTCCCAAAATTTTAACCAATCACAGAGTAGGTTTCATGTAACTAATTTTTAATACAAGAACTATGCAGGGTGAAAATGTTGTCGGGAACACTGAATATGAACTACAATTTTTTTTTTATGGTATCCTTTACTTTAAATTTGTAGTCAGTGACGTAGTTCCGCATGGTCAAGAGGGGCTTATTTTTTTAATGGCAACTACATATTACTTGTATTGACGAGTACACTTTTTTGGATATAGCAGCCAAAACAAAACTTAATTACATAAGCAAATTTAAGAGAAAAGTTCGCGTTGAAAAAACCGTTAATCTTGTGTTAAAGCAATTTAATGTATCAAAAGTTATTAAAAATTTGCAACAAATCTATAAACTTAAAAGCTACGAACAGTGGCATATTAATATTGTTGTGTAAACTACGTCATGCGGACGTTTTAATGGGCTTCAGCACCTATAATAATGATGCGAGGATGCGTCACCCTGTATATGCGAATTTCAATTTTCTTTAAGCGTTAAATGAGGTTATTGTTTTAGATTAAACGCAATTCCGATCGTATCATTTGAGATTAAAGATATTGTTCATTTTATTTAGATGTATTTTGTTTAAATAATCGCCTTTTAATTTGTTTATTTGATTAGTGCGTGAAATGTTTTGTTAAAGTTTATCTCATGTTATCTCCGGTCGTTGCGATATTGTTATTGCTGCGTCAGCTAGTTAGTTTCAAGATAAGAAAACACAGGTGCCGTTTATCGTTCGACGACGCATTAATATACAATGGAAGTGGACGCTGAAGATTTTTAGTAACAAAGAGAGCTATCGAAAAACGTTTCAAATAAAAGTTGCAAGATTCGGTGGGATAAATTAAATGGCGGTTTTAGAAATATTGACATCAACTTCCTTATTTTAAATGGGCGCCATATTAGATTTTTACTCACTTTGATAATTTTTTTTCTTCTGTATAACAAGTTATCATTCAAATAATAAACGTGGGTAAAATTACAATTTTCATTTTTTCTTCATAGTTGGCCATGGAAAGAGTAAGCAACTCACATTTTGCAATGTTGCAGTTGTCTGCCCGGTCAATAGTTTTATTAAAGGATTAATTAACATAAAAAATATAATACAGTAAATATTCACTAAGTACATTTGGCACTGTTTAGCTACTGCCGCAGTTACCTTGCGCAGTGTATTCCTGTTAATCTTTTGAAATGTTTCTATTTTTACGTTACGACGTTCTTTGTGGCCTTTGTACGGCGTAGTATTTACTAGCACTTACAGTTGACCTTGCATTATGGTAAATCTATAAATTAGCAGAAAAGATGAAGAAAGATTTATCTGAATGAGTTTATGATTTATTAGCTTACCTGTAGGGGGCAGCACTTAGCCCGTGGACGGTGGGATACGAGTATTTAAAAGAGTGAGAAAGCTTTACAGCTGCAATTTTTACATTACATTTACGCCTGTTTCCGAATCCTTCACTCAATTTCTGACATTGAAATTATTGCAAGTACGCTTTTGTGTGGCACGCCCCGCTTTATACTGGGCTTTTCACAATGTATTTTTGTATTTGTAGACGAAGAAGAGAGGTACAGTGATCTTGATCCGACTGGCTTAAAATCAGACTCCGAACATGATAGCGCACACCCATCGACTTCAAACGACGGCGAAGTCATCGAGCTTAGCAGTGACAGTGGCGAAAGGGATTTGGACTCTCCTTCGGAATCCGAATTGAACTCTTCGCTAAATGCGGACAGTTATAGCTCTCGTTCTCGTTCATCTGAAGAACTAAGTACGACCAGTGAAGCCGACTCGTCAAAGTCGGAAACCGACGTTTCAAGTGCGGATAGCAGTTTGGAAAAGTTGGTACATTCATCGGAAGCCATAACTGAGATAAATTTGCTAGACGTGTCCGAAGAAAATACAGTGACGAAGTCTGCTTTGAATGATAACGATGAAAACGTCGAGCGCGAGGAATCGAATAAAAATGCAGACGCTACAGTACCAAAAAGCGATTCTGTTGTTGACAGCAATGAGGAAATTGCTACAGCATCCAGAAGAGATACTCTTTCAGATGATCCCGGTGTTCAACCGGTAAATCAAGAATTAAACGAATCTGATATTTTTAACACACCAAGTCAAAATGCGAACGTAAATCAGGATGCAAGTTCTGTGGCTTGTGGAAGTAACGCAGATATCTTTAATGAAACTGTTGAAAGTGTCAAGTATGACATTATAGATGAAAGCAGCTTTCTAAAGACCCCCCCTGATTGTACTCCTTCAGATAATCGTGCAAGGAGTAGTGATACAAACAAGGATGAAGTTACAAAAAATTCGTCTATAAGTTACGATGGTCTGTTATCTCTGCAAACGGAACAACAAAGTACACCAGGTAAGAAATTTGTTTGTTTTGTTCCCGTTTCGTACATTTTTATACCTATTATAAACAATAAATTTGACATTAATTTTTTCAGTGCTTACAATTTGCTTAAAATTTTTATTTTGCAAAATTTTTGAAACAAATGACTGGAAGATTAGACATTTGCAGCAGAATATCTTGTTTGTGGAGATTCTAAAATGTTAATTGTGAATATTTACGGTAAAGGAAATATATAAGTACTATCATTGTACATCTTACAGTGCGCCCACGTAATGTTAAAATCATGCAACTCTTATTTGGGGGCAAGGAGATTAGTTCTGGAGGCCTACCAGAAAAGTACAGAATGCGCGCTGCGATCGCTCAGTTAGGTAACTGTATAACGACAGTAAATTTACAGAAACCTTTATCTAACTTCGTAAGCGATACTGCGACAGGGAATGACAAATATTATTTAAAAAAAAGTTAGCAAATGAAACTTGATGAAACTTAATACCCGTCCTTCACCTTCCTTTAAATAATGCACGGCAAGTAGCATTCCAGTCTAATAAGATGAAATATATCTGATTCGTATAAATTCTTCTAAAATGATCATGGGATGGGGTTTTAAAAACAGATATATTTGTTTCTTTTTTTGTTAGTGTCCTTTTTCTGGCGGACCCCACGACTACTAATGGATTTTCTAATTCACGCAGGAAACAGCATTAATAAGTAGGTACACATTGATAATGTAGGAATATCACTGAATAAAATTCTAAACTTGCATAAAAAGAAATGTTTGACCTTTGTTGCCGTGGCCGATTTGTCTTTTTATTAGTCTCAATATTAAATTACACAATTATGCATTAAGTACACGGCGATTGCTACTATTGCCATCCACATGATTATGTATGTCATATGTGCAACAAATCGGTGACACTATCTGGACTATAAGCTTTCATTGATTATTTATTTTTGACCTACGCAAGTGGGCATTAAGGGAGGCGAGAATAAGGTCATTGTCACTTTATGTTTGAAATTTTAAGATAAACAGAACGTAACTTATCTTCTGTTATATTCCCATGCAATAAAACCATGAATAAGTACCAAAAAAATGCTAGTAGGTACCAAGGTTAAGTAGAGGTACGGCTTGAACTCCTTGATCCTCTTGCTGTTTTAAGCGCTATCTTTTGTTTAGGTTTTACAACTCCTGAAAAATTTGTGAAAAGAACATCGAAAAACAACGGCCGCTAAACGTGCATTTAGTGTGTTGGTTTATGATTTTAGTGTTCCGTTTATCTACTGTGCCCCAATATTGCATTTAGTGCTTCGATGGTGCTTTGCCTTTTTGGTGTTGGAGATAATTGGAAAACTCAACAACCCCCCCCCCCCGCGCCACGCACATTAAACTGTTTAAACAACGGTGTGGCATAGTACTATTATGCTTTTATGCTGAAGGTTTGCATCTTTTTGGTTTCGAAAATTGAACTTATGCATAAGTAAACTAAGCTCTTTCATAATATTTCACTTGCCTCTTTTCTAACCCAAATATTTTGAAAAAGAAAATAATCCACACGTATTCTCTGCAATTTTTCCTCCATGGTTAAAGGGAAAATTTTAAATTGTTCAGCAATTAACTTGTGTTCAGTGAATAAAATGGTTGTACACAAAATTGTGTAACTTTGGGTATAAAAAAGTTTAATTTTTGAGGGCAACGCTTAGGCCTCATTTGATTTTTCCAAATATCTCTGAAACCAAAAAGACAGATTGTAACAATAAAACCACAATTAAGCACAATCGAAGTGCTATACTATAAATGGTTTAATTTTAAGAGGCTAAGCGTTCACTTAGAATCTATTTGAATTTCCCAAATATTTCTAAATCCAACAACGCACAAACCGTGGATGTAAATACACAATAAAGCACATCTGACGCGCAGTAGTTCCATTGATGTCCTATAATGAGGGGAGAAGTGAACGGACCCACATACTATAGGTAGATCAGAGTGTGGGGTAAGATTCACTTTCAAATGACCTGGTTCACCATGGTCTATGTGCCATCTTCAATTTAATTAAGAAATTAAAATTAAGTTTTTAGTTTTTTTAATTTCATTTTTTAGTTAGTATCGTGGACACTGGACATATCCAGTCTCGAATTCATTGATAACATTCAAAAGGTTAGGGTAGATTCTATGGGTAAATTTAATTGTAAGATGATTCACTATTGCAGATTTTCTTATACATCCAACATTTATCATATTATTTTGTATTGGCATTGTAGATACATATAGAGGAAGAGGGTGTAGCATCCAAGACCCCCTCGGATCATATTTCCTTTACTATAAAAGATACCGAAAAAAGTCTTAGAGCCAAATTGTATACAATTACCGTCACCATGTTTCTAAAATATTTTTGATCACCAGAGGCGTGCTGTATTCCAGTGACGTATCAAACGTGCGTTTTTTTTAGCGTACACAACAAAGTTGAGGTAACGCTTATGTGCTCGATTTTCCGTCTTCTGTCTGTCTGTTCCAAATTGATAGCTGCTATGGTCTATATTTGCCTGTTACTTATTATTTACAGTAGTGTTACGCGGCAATATCCACGAGTGGATTTGAAACATTTGTAAATTGAACATCTCATAGTTTATAAGTTATAACATATTTGGAAAGTACTTATTTTTTTATGTAACATGTTATATCCTTAACCTCGCCCTGATCTTTAACGATTTAGTTATTAAATGCCCTTTTTTCCTCAAAATTTGACATTTTTCGAATTTTTTTTGTGGAGCTGAATTGCCTCATCTAAATTTACAAAATGAGATATGCTTGAATTTACTAGAAACATATCTGGTTAAATGTCTAAAAAACATTTCCATAAGTAAGGGTGTTGAAATTGCGCAACGTGCGCATGCGGACATTAATCGTTAAGGTTTTTCTTGGTTGAGGTGCCAAAGCTATAACTAGGTACCGAATGCAAAAAAAAACGAAATCAAGGGACGAATTGTTATATTTAATTTGTTATTTTTGTTTCTTGGGGTACTACGTTTCTGTTTCACTATATATGTGGGGGGTACGTTTTAATTATTTATAAAAAAGTGGTAGTGGTACATAATCAAAAATGACCAGCAATTTATTTTGACCATTAAATTACATCCCTTGCCATTAAAAACTTTCAAGAGAGCATAGTTATGCTTATAATGCAAATTTCTTGTAGCCATACTAAGTCACCGGATCCCGTTCACTTCGTGTACGTTAAATACTACACAATGTGTACGTAGCAAAAGAAAAAGATTAAATAGTCTGCTCACAGAGACGTCTGTGGGTGAATATTGATAATAATAATAATATATTTGATCCTTGTGACATATATATCTACATGTATAGGATAACGTCGATGTTCTTACCTAATAATAAATTATCATTGTTAGTTCGGAGGAGTGCCAGAATCATTAAGAAATTCGTCTACGCTGTAGTATATATTTTGTAAAAGAAACCTATTAAGCTCGCGCTTGAGGATGTTTACGTGTTTAGCGTTTTTAATATTGTATGGAAGTTTATTAAAAAATTTTTATTCCAGTCACATAAGGACTGTCTGTATGAAGTTTTGATTTGCCGATAGGTATCCTTAGATCAGTGTTCTTCCGGGTATTGTGTCTATGTATATCGCAGTTTTGCAGAAACTCTTTTTTATTGCAGAAAACATATTTACTTACTTCTAACATATACAAGCTCGGAAGAGGCAGAATTTGTATGTGTGAGAACATTGGTCTGCAAGACTGTGTAGGTTTTGCTTTAAACATGCATCTTATGATACGTTTTTGTATTATAAAGGCGTGTTTCATTGTGGACGAGGAACCCCAGAAACACAGCCCGTACCTTAGTCACGATTCAACGCATGCGTGATAGAACGTTTTTAGTTGCCTCAATTCGAGATAAGAACGAAGATACCGAATTTGGTAACAACAGGAGCTTAATATCTTTATTAAGTGTTCATTCTGTTGTTTCCAACTCAGTGTGTCATCAAAAATAATTCCAAGAAACTTGACGTTGTTGGATTTTTGTAGAGCTAGACCGGGAATAGAAATATTCGTATCTAGAATATTTCTATTTTGGTAGTTATGAAATTGTACAACTTTGGTTTTACTCTGATTTAGAAACAAAACATTATCAGTAAACCATTTCGACAAACTTTGTACGGTTATAATACATTTTCTTAGTAATTCATTCTTATCTCGATGTGAGACGACCGCAGTGGTATCGTCGGCATATAGAGTAAGGGTTGCGTCGCCTTTTATACAGTTAACGATGTCGTTTGTGTATAGCGTGAAAAGAATAGGTGCCAATACGGTACCTTGTGGAGTGCCAATGTCTAAGTCAATCGTATCAGATGTAAGATTGATCGTATTGTTGTCAATGTTATGATTTAGGGACACAAACTGCTTTCGGTTTTCCAGAAAACTTTTTAGCCACATAAGAGAGGTTCCTCGAATTCCATAACTGGATAATTTTTGAAAAAGCCTTTCATGGTTGATGCAGTCGAATGCTTTCGTAACGTCACAAAAAATCCCAAGTGGTGCCTCTTTATTTTGAATATGATGAAGTATTTTCCGATAGTAGAAATGTATGGCATCGGATGTGGACATGTTGGGTCTAAAACCAAATTGATTTGGTACTAGTATCTCCGATTTTTTTATAAAACGCTCTAACCTATCTAAAAAACAGTACTCGAATATTTTTGAAAACACTGATGTAATCGAAATAGGTCTATAATTGTTGGGGTCGTTTAGATCACCTTTCTTGTGTACTGGCACCACTTTAGATAATTTCAGGGTTTCTGGGAAGCGACCAGTTAAGAGTGATAAATTAATTAAGTAAGTTAAGGGAATAATTATGGCTGGAGTGACTTGTCTGATCAGAAAACAGGGAAAACTATCTGGACCTGAAGACCTCTTGCTCTTAATTTTTTTGTGCACTATTTCTAGAACCTCTGATTCACAGAATGGTAAAAGATACATCGTTCTATGATTAGAAGAGATACCAGAGATGGATGGACAGTTTGCGTCCCGCACTAGATTATTAATAATCTCCAGAGGAGCACGTTTGAGTTTAAGTGAGGAAATTGCTTTTGAATCGCGAATAACGATTTTAGGTTGGAGCTCGATCTTTTTACATCCCGGTTAACCCAAGGCTTACCTTTTTCAGCACATTTAATAGTGCGGAGCGGAAAGTAGTGGTTAAAGTGGCGTTTAAGAATGTCGCTAAACAGGTCATATGCTATATCCATGTCCTTTACTGTCATTATCTATGACCAATTTTCTTTATTTAATTTTGTGTAGAACTCGTCAATACGTTCACTAATGATGATTCTGGTACTCCTTCGAGCGTGGCAATTTTTGGGTAACCTATAAAGATTTGAGTTAAAAAGTATACTACGGTGATCAGAAATACAATTATCTTCTACAGTTACAATTATCTTCTACAGTATACTGCATATGGTTTGCTTTTATGCTAAATTAATCTTTGCAGTGCGTTTTATCGCCATCTATGTAGCTTTTTAGGGCGTCACACTTTTTGCTATGCCGTGGCATTACTGTAAGATGTATATGCAACAGCAGAACCACCTTTTTTCGTTCTTTCTCTAGGAAAGATAAACATTAAACTGTACTGCAATACAATTTTTGTCTGCTTAGGGATAGTTTGGTACTTCTTTTTGTATAACTGACATTGTTTAGCAGTACAACGAAACTTATACCACAGATTTAAACTTTACAGATATATGGTTGGTTAAATTTTCTGCGCTTTCTTTTAATCAGCACATACTATCGCAAAGCATCGCCCTAATTGAGCTATATTTTAGGATTTAAATAAAATTTAAATCTTTGTTTCCTCTCAAGTTTAACAACAATAGGCTATTCATATGAGCAATGGGCGTCGAGCAATCGAGTTTGATCTCTCCCAAGAAAATTGATGCATAAATATCGATTTTGACCGATTTTTGCACATCTGGAACTCATTACTTACGATTTCTGTTATTGGCTTGTGCGATGGGTCATGACTGTTATAGGATGGATTTCGAAACCCTCAAACACAACTCTATATGATAATGAAACAGGTCATGTCCTAGCCAAAATGGCAGGCGCCTGAGCTCTAATCTAATCTAACGCTATTTATTTATGTTTGCGCACGACCTCCACTATTAGGTATAGAAGGCGTGACATAAGTATCATACCTAATATAAAAATAAGTTTGACCAAATTAGGATATTATTATTTGATGGTAATCATTCTTTTGCTTTGCGCAGTAACACGTTCCAAACGATCACTGCAACGTATGGACACTCCAGACGTGAAAGATATGAGGAAATTTTCGCTTAAAAGGAATATGAGCACATCAGAACCTAATATCAGTGGCGAATTAGTACCAGCGAATACCTCAATTGGAGACTCTCGGCAAACAATTCCAGCAAGTAGAAAAAGAAGTGCAAGTGTTGACATACTAACAGATGCAGAAGCATTTGAAGGCATAGCGAGTCACTCTACACCAACAAAGGACGAAGCTGTGCCGGCCAGAAGGAAAAGAAGTGCAAGTTCTAGCACAACAGCGCAATCACACGACACTATAATATCTAGCTCAAAATCAACAGCAATCCCGGCAAGAAGGAAACGAAGTTTAAGTGCTAACGATACCACACTAGAATCTTCAAGCTTTCAACGAAATTTACGTAGTAGAAGTGTGGATATCGAAGGAGCTCCCCAAAAGCTCGAAACAACTAGTTCTGCTAAGAGTAGTAATAAAACAACTGAAAGTAGGAGACGCAAAAAGACACCGCCTACTTCATCCCTACCTAAAATTGATGAAGACTACACCAGCTCCAGGAGGCTTACTCGCAGGCAAGCCAAAATGTTAGAAAAAGCTATAGGCGATCATGTAACTACGCCCGTTACTGAACTAAGTACAGATACAATGCATTCGGATGAATCCCTACCATCAAACGTGTCGGATGATGCGATAGGTTATCGATTGAGAAGTAGAAGTGTCTTGTCAGATTCTTCGGTCGTCCATTCTGAAGCCGATAATTCTATTAACGGTATGTGTTCAGCGTAGCTGTGTAGTGTTAGTTATTAATTTGTATTTCCTTTATCAGTTACTATGGAAGGAAATAAATCAAGTACACTCCAAACTGAAAGTCAACCTCGGAGGTTAAGGAAAACAAGACTGAATTCTAAGGTGATTATTCTGATTTCAAGAATTAACATTGGCAAAATAAATGTTTGCTTGTTTCATGTTTTTGTCAAATGTTACAAATCGAATACTAACCACCTCTTCTTGGGCTTTATGAGATAGCAAAGGTGTATCTCACACGGTTTGGTAGGTAGGGTGTGTTTCTCAAATCGATTTCTGGAGCACCTTGCTCAAAGCAGTTTTTGATGTAGATAGCATAAAGCTGGTGTGGTAATGTGATAATTTCTAATTGGCTGTTTGGCTACGAGACATCCAGCATATTTTGAGATTGTGATGTAGTGCTTAAAATTCTCTTTCTTAAAGCTCCTTTGAGAAAATTCATTCTGAAACCTTGAATAACTTAAAAAATGAGTCATCAAAA